AGGCTGATCGCCGGAGAATGGATGCTTTTGAATTCTGGTGCTGGAAGAGACTCTTGAGAGTCCCATGGACTACAAGAAGATCCAACCTCTCCATTCTGGAAGGAAATCAGCCCTGAGTGCTCCCTGGAAGGACAGATCGTGAAGCTGAGGCTCCAAGACTTTGGCCACCTCATGAGAAGAGAAGACTCCCTGGAAAAGACCCTGATGTTGGGAAAGATGGAGGGCACAAGGAGAAGGAGACAACAGAGGACGAGATGGCGGGACAGTGTTCTCGAAGCGACCAGCATGAGTTTGACCAAACTGTGGGAGGCAGTGGAAGACAGGAGGGCCTGGTGTGCTCTGGTCCAGTGGATCACGAAGAGGCGGACACGACTAAACAACAACAACAACATGGGGATTAGCAGCTAATAAAAGTTTGGGTTCTCTTTTGTTAGGGGCTTCCATCTTGTTCCACCTTGTGGCAGGTGGGAGTCCTGTCGCGACAGTCTTCAATCAAGACCAAGCCTCCTGGCTGCTGTTTTGCTCTGGTATTCCTGGCTGGTGTCCTTGGTTTTTGTCCAAGGGAGCCCTCAGATTTCTCTATTAACACCTCCACCGCCTTGCCCCCCACACTTCTGGGAATCCGGGCTTGGAGGAAAAGGCATTATGAAAGACAAAACGGCTTCTCTCGGTGCGAGAAGAATCCCCGGCGGGAGGTTGCTGGCGCCCTCAGGCCGTATCTCGTAGGGGTCTGGCACCAGGCACCAGAGTTTATCTGCTCCCTATGGGGCAGGGGGAATGAGGCAGCTGGATACATGCCATTGCTAAATGGAACAAGGCTCTGGAGGGGGGTGACATTGGCAGAGGGGTGAAAACGCAGAGACGCCTTGCAGGAAATATCCACCATGTGTGCCAGAGGCAGCTGTCTGCAAGGAAAGTAGAGAGCAAGGGGGAATCTTTGGCCTTCAGGCCCAGCTCAGCCCGCAAGAACTCAGCCCAGTAAGGTAAAAAGCAGAGACATCACCTTGCCACAGAACTGGTAGGGAAGTCGACAGAATAAAAGAAAACTATATCAGCCACAGAGCCTAGGGCTTGCTGATCAGAAGGTCGGCAGTTCGAATCCCCGCGACGGGGTGAGCTCCCGTTGCTCGGTCCCTGCTCCTGCCAACCTAGCAGTTCGAAAGCACAGCAAAGTGCAAGTAGATCAAAAGGTCCCGCTCCGGCAGGAAGGTAAACGGCGTTTCCGTGCGCTGCTCTGGTTCGCCAGAAGCGGCTTAGTCATGCTGGCCACATGACCCGGAAGCTGTACGCCGGCTCCATCGGCTAATAAAGCGAGATGAGCGCCGCAACCCCAGAGTTGGCCACAACTGGACCTAATGGTCAGGGGTCCCTTTACCTTTTTATGTCAACAACCTCAGATATGCAGATGACACAACCTTGATGGCAGAAAGCGAGGAGGAATCGAGGAACCTTTTAATGAGGGTGAAAGAGGAGAGCGCAAAATATTGTCTGAAGCTCAACATCCCAAAAAAACGAAGATCATGGCCACTGGGCCCATCACCTCCTGGCAAACAGAAGGGGAAGAAATGGAGGCAGTGAGAGATTTTACTTTCTTGGGCTCCATGATCACTGCAGATGGTGACAGCATCACAAAATTAAAAGACACCTGCTTCTTGGGAGAAAAGCAATGACAAACCTAGACAGCATCTTAAAAAGCAGAGACATCACCTTGCCAACAAAGGTCCATATATAGTTCAAGCTCTGGTTTTCCCAGTAGTGATGTATGGAAGTGAGAGCTGGACCATCAAGAAGGCTGATCGCCAAAGAATGGATGCTTTTGAATTCTGGTGCTGGAGGAGACCCTTGAGAGTCCCATGGACTGCAAGAAGATCCAACCTCTCCATTCGGAGGGAAATCAGCCCTGAGTGCTTTCTTATAAAAAGCTCAACAGCTTTGATTTCATAAAAAATAAAAGCTCAACACTCAAAGCCACTCAAAAAGATCTTTGGTGTCAGATTTGGGGGTGCCCTGTCTGGTTCCTGATCTCTGGGGTGTCTGATCAAACATCTGTTTCCCAAACTGGGGTCTCCGTCTGTTTTGGGGACCAAAACTCCCATCCTCCCTGACCCAAGGTAATTTGCTAGGCATGTTTCTGCCCTCTTGGACTTGAAAGGCACGGCACAAAAGGAAAAAGGGATGCGTCGGGAGGAGGAGTGGGGACGCCACGTTTTTTACAAGTTTCTGGAAGTAGATGCCCAGAGTTGTCCTGTAGGGTTTCAAGTGGCCCTCGGCAGGCGGAAAGCAGCCCCACTGTTGTTGAGTCGTTTAGTCGTGTCCGCCTCTTTGTGACGCCCTGGACCAGAGCACGCCAGGCCCTCCTGTCTTCCACTGCCTCCCGCAGTTGGGTCAAACTCATGCTGGTAGCTTCGAGAACACTGTCCCACCATCTCGTCCTCCGTCGTCCCCTTCTCCTTCTGCCCTCCATCTTTCCCAACATCAGGGTCTTTTCCAGGGAGTCCTCTCTTCTCATGAGGTGGCCAAAGTCTTGGAGCCTCAGCTTCAGGATCTGTCCTTCCAGTGAGCACTCAGGGCTGATTTCCTTCCGAATGGAGAGGTTGGATCTTCTTGCAGTCCATGGGACTCTCAAGAGTCTCCTCCAGCACCAGAATTCAAAAGCATCCATTCTCCGGCGATCAGCCTTCTTGATGGTCCAGCTTTCACTTCCATACATCACTACTGGGAAAACTAGAGCTTTAACTATACGGACCTTTGTTGGCAAGGTGATGTCTCTGCTTTTTAAGATGCTGTCCAGGTTTGTCATTGCTTTTCTCCCAAGAGGCAGGCGTCTTTTAATTTCGTGGCTGCTGTCACCATCTGCAGTGATCATGGAGCCCAAGAAAGTAAAATCTCTCACTGCCTCCATTTCTTCCCCTTCTATTTGCCAGGAGGTGATGGGACCAGTGGCCATGATCTTCGTTTTTTTGATGTTGAGCTTCAGACCATATTTTGCGCTCTCCTCTTATATATACTAACCAGCCTCCTGCTACGATTCACTGAGCTGCATAGTTCTTTATCTCTGTTTTTCTTCAGCAGAACTGTCAAATCCGATGAAAGACACAGCCGAGCCCCACAAAAGATGAAAGGGCTATCGAAGATTCATTATCCTCATGTCTGGCTCTGCATGAGACAGCTTTTTATTTTCTATTAATCCCTGCATGTCAAGGTTCCAGACCTCATGGCTGCAAGAAAAAATGCCTAAAAGCATTCGTATATCAAGTTTGCAGACCTCATGTTGCAAGAGAAAAATGCCTAAAAATGCATTCATATATCAAGTTTCTAGACCTCATGATTGCAAGAGAAAAATGCCTTAAAAAGCATCCATATATCAAGTTTCTAGACCTCATGGTTGCAAGAGAAAATGCTTAAAAGTATGCATATGTCAAGTTTCTAGACCTCATGGTTGTAAGAGAAAATGCCTAAATATCAAAAGCATTCATATACCAAGTTTCTAGACCTCATGGCTGCAAGAGAAAATGCCTAAAAGCATATCGTTGTGGTTCCCATCATTCGGCAAATCGTTTCTTCCCCACCCCTCTATAAAATTCCCCTGCCCGCAGGTCTCGCTTGATTGACAATTAATTCTCAGCTGAAAACACGGTTTTGCCAATTATGCGGTCATTTTTATGGGCATTTTGGGGTTTCTTTTCATTATCGAGCTGTTTCCCGGGCAAAGCGAAGGAACGAAACGATCAGAAACGTCGCCGAATAGAATCAAATAATTTTTAGTGTTTGGAGGGACAGGAAACGCAGCGCGATGTGTCGGATCGCACTTGATGCGCCAAAACATCATCTCAGCTCCCTGCAAAACAAAGTTCGCTGCTCCTTGGCTGTCCTCTAATCCTCTTGCAAACAAATCACGAGGAATTCTCAATAAACAGGTCATCTGGGAGGGCTTGTTAATCCCCGCAGAAAGCCGAAAAAACAACTTGCGTTTGCCCATCTTTGGAAATCCCAAATAAACCACCGTTGGCAAGGCCGATTCTCTGCGAAGCTGCGAGTTCGTGTTCTGGAATTGCAGGAAGCCGGTTAGTCTCCGAATCATTTCCCTTCCTCCCGAAAGGAGAGTCAAACTTTATAAGTCCTTGCAACCATGAGGTCTAGAAACTTGATATATGAAAGCTTTTAGACATTTTCTCCTGCAACCATGCGGTCTAGAAACTTGAGATTTAGGCATTTTTTCTTGCAACCATGAGGTCTGGAAACTTATATACAAATACTTTTAGGGGTTTTCTCTTGCAGCCATGAGGTCTAGAAACTTGATATATGAATACTTTAGGCATTTTCTCTTGCAACCATGAGGTCTAGAACTTGATATATGAATACTTTTAGGCATTTTCTCTTGCAACCATGAGGTCTAGAAACTTGATAAACGAAAGCTTTTAGGCATTTTCTCCTGCAACCATGAGGTCTAGAAACTTGAGATTTAGGCATTTTTTTCTTGCAACCATGAGGTCTGGAAACTTGATATACAAATGCTTTTAGGCGTTTTCTCTTGCAGCCATGATGTCTAGAAACTTGATACATGAATACTTTTAGGCATTTTCTCTTGCAGCCATGAGGTCTGGAAACTTGATATATGAATACTTTTAGGCATTTTCTCTTGCAACCATGAGGTCTAGAAACTTGATATATGAATACTTTTAGGCATTTTCCTTCAACCATGAGGTCTAGAAACTTGATATTTGGGCATTTTCTCTTGCAACCATGAGGTCTAGAAACTTGATATTTAGGCATTTTCTCTTGCAACCATGAGGTCTAGAAGCTTGACATGCAGGGATTAATAGAATTAATTAACAGAAAATAGATTAATAGAAAATAAAAAGCTGTCATGAGGTCTAGAAACTTGATATACCTCCCAAAAGCCTCTTCCCAAAAAGCCAAAGAAGTTCTCCCGTTTTCCCTCCAGGGGGAAAACTCCTCCAAGTCTCCTCCTTTATCTCTCTCTCTGCAATCTTTTCCCTGAAAAGGGATGAGCCGCCCAGCCTCCTCTCTCTTGGTCCCTCCCTTTTTCCTACCCAGTTCTCCCAAAAAAAAAAAGCGCTTTTTCTCAGATGCATCAGACAGACGAATTGGGGCAAAGGGACCAGTCTCTTCGCTGACTCCCAGGAATTAGCGCTCAACTTCTGGGAACTTGGTCTGGAAAAGGGTATGTAGCCCAAATCATTGTTCTAAGGGTGATGGTTTTTATACTGGTTTTTATGCTGCTGGTGGTGGGTCTTTTGCAAGCCTGATGGTTTTTCTTTTTAGCAAAGGCTTGTTGGAGCACATCCTCCAGCCGGGGGAAAAAAAGGGGTTTTATTTCAAGGCGCAAAAGGGGAAGCGAGACTCCGGGAGAGATAAGGGAAGAGGGAGAGGGAGGGATGGGGAGAAGGGACTGGAGGGGAGAGGGATGTGGGCAGTGGAAGGGGGAGGGGAGGGGGGAGGGAAGGAAGGAAGAAAAGAAAGAAAGAAAGAAAGAAAGAAAGAAAGAAAGAGAAAGAAAGAAAGAGATGGGTATTGAAGAGGGAAGGGGATGGGGGAGGGAAGGAAGGAAGGAAGGAAGGAAGGAGAGAGAAAGAAAGAAAGAAAGAAAGAAAGAAAGAAAGAAAGCAGGAAGGAGGGAGAGAGAGATGGGTATTAAAGAGGAAAGGGGAGGGAGAGAGGGAAGGAAGAAAAGGAAGGAAGGAGAGAGAGAAAGAAAGAATGAAAGAGGAAAGAAAGAAAGAAAGAAAGAAAGAAAGAAAGAAAGAAAGAAAGAAAGAAAGGAAAGGGGAGGGAGAGAGGGAAGGAAGAAAGGAAGGAAGGAGAGAGAGAGAGAGGGAAGGAAGGAAGGAAGGAAGGAAGGAGAGAGAGAGAGAGAGAAGGAAGGAAGGAAGGAAGGAAGGAAGGAGGGAGAGAGAGAAAGAAAGAAAGAAAAGATAGAGAAGGAAGGAAGGAGAGAGAGAGAGAGAAAGAGAAGGAAGGAAGGAGAGAGAGAGAGAGAGAGAGAGAAAAGAAAGAGAAGGAAGGAAGGAGAGACAGAGAGAAGGAAGGAAGGAAGGAAGGAAGGAAGGAAGGAAGGAAGGAAGGAAGGAAGGAAGGAGAGAGAGAAAGAAAGAAAGAAAAAAGAAAGAAAGAAAGTTGGGTATTGAAGAGGAAAGGGGGAGGGAAGGAAGAAAAGGAAGGAAGGAGAGAGAGGGGGAGAGAGATGGGTATTGAAGAGGGAAGGGGAGGGGGAGGGAAGGAAGAAAGGAAGGAAGGAAGGAAGGAAGGAAGGAGGAAGGAAGGAAGAAGGAAGGAAGGAAGGGCAACATGTTCTCACCCAGAAGCCCTCATTTCGCCTTCTTAGGCTCTGAAAGTTGCTATGGGCAAGGGAGAGGTGCACTCTGCACATGACCAGAGGCACTAGGTGCCTCAAATGCTCTTGCGGAGAGGCAGGACAAAGACGGAGTAAGATGAAAGAATGGAGAACTGAAGACACTCTCCTGTCATTCAAGATACATTGTTTGGGGGGGCATTTGACGTGTGTCCCCATTTAATTTGATCCCTGTGTACTCCTTGTCCATCGCTGCCTCCTGAAGGAGTGCGTTCCTCACTTTACCGATCCTTAAAAATTTACATTTGTATATATTATTTATCATTTTCGGCTTTAAAACAATAATATAAATTGCAGAATTTAAATTACTGAATTTAATACATTAGATTTCCCTTCTCTGCCCTTGTATGGTTCATTTCGTTTTCATTTTTGCATATTCTAATTAATTCCCTTTCCCCCCCCTTTCCTGATTCCAGTTATACATTAACTGCTCAGTTTATTCTAACCCTGCTAACTTCTAAAGTGGTTTTCAATCATTTTTCAAACATGCTACGAATCTTCCCTCTGTTCTTTTTTAAAAAAAGAATTATTTATTCCTGATCTGGTTTAATTCTACCTTTTCTTTTATCCATCCTAAATCTTTAAACACTGGGCTTCCTTGAAATTCGGCAATGAGTTCTGGTATTACGCTGAGAGTTGTCAATCCGGAACGTCGCCATTATGGGCAGTAATGATTGACAGCTATCAGTCTCCATCCAATTGTCTCTGATCTGCTTTCTAATCTCGAACGATAAGGCTATCAATTCGCGCCAGTCACGATGGTTTTATATTGCCTTCAGTCTCTGATAAAGCATGCTTTTTCCCCAGCCTTGCCAAAGAACAATTATACAGGACTTTCTTATTTTTGTTTTTCCCCCAATTCCAATTCCATTATTTTTTTAAATAGAAAAAAAACAGGAAAGATACATTTTATCAAATCAAATTGACTCCTCCCGCTCCCCCTTTCTGCAGTTACCTATATTGTTAACACTTATCGCTGCGCCCCTAATTTTAACCTTCTTATATATATTATTATTATTTTATACTCCCTTCAAATCTCTTAACTGCTTGGTCTTAAGTCAGTCCAGTTTAAGGTGTGTGTTTTACAACGGTTCCGAAATTTCCCCCCATTCAGTATTTAAAAGTCTGCTGTCTCGATTTCTTGTTTTTCCGGGAAGTTTCTTCTCGTTTGTGAATATTCCGTTAGTTTTAATTGCCAGTCTTCTTCAGTTGGAAATGACTCTTCCATTTCTGGGCGTATATCGTTCTGGCAGCATAAAAAAAAACCAGTTTCTCCTGATATTTAGGTACATCTGAGTCCAATATTCCTAACAGGAATACTTCCGCTTTCTTAACAATAATAAATAAACGCAGGGGACAAAGAAACAAATGGATAAACGCGAGGAACAAGCACGAATGACTGAATCTTCGTTTGCGTCAGCCATCAGCCATTGCAATAAAACAACAGCACGATAGACAAAGAATAGAAATAAAAAGTCAATTATATACAATACATTTTAGGGTTTTGAATAGTGGACCTTATTCTGATTGCCCCAGCTAAAAAGCTTGCCACCTTTGCCGTCACCTGCTCATCTGGATCTGCCAAGAGAAAGGACACTTCCTTCCTTCCTTCCTTCCTTCCTTCCTTCCTTCCTTCCCCCCCCCCTCTCTCTCCCTTCCTCACTCCCTCCCTCCCTTCCTTCTCTCTCAGTTTCTTTTTCCTTCCTTCCTTCCTTCTTTCTCTCTCTCTCTCTCTCTCTCTCCCTCCCTCCCTCCCTCCCTTCCTTCTCTCTCAGTTTCTTTTCCTTCCTTCCTTTCTTCTCTCTCTCTCTCTCTCCCTTCCTCCCTCCCTCCCTTCCTTCCTTCTCTCTCTGTTTCTTTTTCCTTCCTTCCCTTCTTCTCTCTCTCTCTCTCTCTCTCCCTCCTCCGTCCTTCCTCCCTTCCTTCCTCCCTCCCTTCCTCCCTTCCTTCCTCTCTCTCTCTCTCCCCTTCCTCCTCTCTCTCTCTCTCTCTCTCTCTCTCTCTCTCTCTCTCTCTCATCTTGACCTGCCCAGAGAAAGGACACTGGGACAGTGGCTGGGCGACCCGGAATGGACGATAAAAGAGGGGTGATAATCTCATTCCTCAAGTCTTTATCAAGAGGGCAAGCCAGAAGGGCATGCGCCACCGATTCGGGACTGCCGTCTCCACAGGAACATTTTTCGTGTTGGAATCGTCCCTCAAATCCATCCGAGGGCAAGACATTCAATCTCACGAGCATAAAAGCGCGTCTATATTTTAGAGCAAGCAAGCGAATCTGAGCTTCTCATTCCCTGCATCCTCAGATCTCTGCTCTCTTTCAGGATTCGAAACACGCTTTTCCTCTTCCTCCTCCTCTTTCCTTCCTTTCCCCTCTGCTATATGGACAGTCAGGAAAGAAAAAAACACACGCTTTTCATGTGAAACCCTATCCCCCCACTGCGCCGAAATGAATCTCTCTCGTGTGTCAGCTTGGCTTTCGAGTCTCCAAATATTTGGACGCTCCTTTCAGCCGTCACTTAGCCCGGATCTAAACATTTCGGTTCGTTTTGGCAGCTATAAATCTCCCTCTCGTCTTCAAGAGCTTAGTCTGAGCGTTCTTGAGAGGGTGCCATACACTTCTGGAAAACGCGTGTTGCCTGGGAGTTCGGAAGCAGCCAGGGGCTAAAAAAACACAAAACCGGTCGATTCCCAGGGTCTGGGTGCAGAGGAAGGACGGCAGGATCTGTCCCTAGTTTCTCGCGCGTCCACAAAGAACGCCGTGAACCCAGATTGCCGAATCAATCACCGTCATATTTTCAAAACATGCCTTGGCCAACTACGAAAGAGACAGAGAAAACACGAACAATCTTGCAAACGACATCAGTCCTGGGAGATTGCATGAAACAGAAAATGAAAAGTTAGGAACGTTGCCATGATGAAATCCTAGCTCTCCTCTGAGCCAATATTATTTATTGCTCCGACATGAAGCCCAATCTGTGCCAGTTACAGAGAGGGATCTGGGTGGGTCACCCAGATTTTAAGATGCAGCAAGGTTATCTGACCCTCCGAAACAGGCGTGGAAGGAGAGACTTGATGCAATTGGTGGCGAAACATGAGATAAGGAGATTCCTGCTGCATTGCGCCAGTGCGTAACTTCCAACATTTATCCGATTAAAATAGGCACGTCCTATACAGTAATAGGGACGCGAGTGGCGCTGTGGGTTAAACCACAGAGCCTAGGACTTGCCGATCAGAAGGTCGGCGGTTCGAATCCCCGCAATGACGGGGTGAGCTCCCGTTGCTCGGTCCCTGCTCCTGCCAACCTAGCAGTTCGAAAGCACGTCCAAAGTGCAAGTAGATAAAGAGGTACCACACCGGTGGGAAGGTAAATGGCATTTCCGTGCGCTGCTCTGGTTCGCCAGAAGCGGCTTAGTCCTGCTGGCCACATGACCCGGAAGCTGTACGCCGGCTCCCTCAGCCAGTAAAGCGAGATGAGCGCCGCAACCCCAGAGTCGGCCACGACTGGACCTCATGGTCAGGGGTCCCTTTACCTTTACCTATTCAGTAATAATAATAATACAGTGGTACCTCGATTTTCGAACATCTCGGAAGTCAAACATTTCGGTTTTCAAACGCCGAAAACCCGGAAGTAAATGCTTCTGTTTGCAAACAGAATTCGAACATCTTTCCACTGTGTGTACATGTTATTTCCCCCCAGTTTTTGCAGACCGCCCATTGCGCCTCGGTTTCCGAACGTTTCGGAAGTCGAAGGGTCTTCCTGAAGGGGTTACGTTCGAAAACCGAGGTACCACTGTATCATAATGATAATAATG